TGTTGAATTTGATTATCTCGGTTTTTCTGTAAAGGATTTTCAGACAGGAACGCTTTTAATGAGATGTAATAGTTCTGGCGACCTCTACCCTATTCCCACAAGACCAAACACAACAGCACTACCACCATCCGCTTTTGCTGCTTCATCTAACGAGTTATGGCATAGTCGTTTAGGACATCCAGGAGCTCCTATCTTAAATTCTCTTCATCGAAACAAACTTTTGCTATGTAACAAGTTTCGAAATGATTTCTTTTGTCACTCTTGTCCCCTTGGGAAACAAATAAAATTGCCCTTTTATAATTCCTTATCTTTTACTTGTATGCCTTTTGACATTGTTCATAGCGATCTTTGGACGTCTCCGGTATTAAGCTCCGGAGGGCATCGTTACTATGTTTTATTTCTTGATGATTTTACTAATTTTTTGTGGACTTTTCCAGTGTCAAACAAATCACAAGTACATTCCATTTTCTTACAATTCCGTGCTCACGTTAAAACACAATTTGAACGTGAAATAAAATGTTTTCAATGTGACAATGGAAAAGAATACGATAATGCTCTCTTTCATAAGTTTTGTGAACAAAATGGAATGTCTTTTCGATTCTCTTGTCCTCATACCTCCCCACAAAATAGAAAAGCCGAAAGAAAAATTCGTACAATCAATAATATAATCTGAACCCTCCTTGGTCATGCTTCTATTCCACCGGTTTTCTGGCACCATGCTCTCCAAATGGCCACTTACCTACACAACATACTTCCAAATAAGAAACTCACTCTCCAATCACCCACCAAAATTCTCTACCAAAAAGATTCGTCCTATTCACACCTCCGAGTATTTGGATGTCTTTGTTATCCCTTAATTCCGTCCACCACTAGGAATAAACTCCAACCTCGGTCTACACCATGTGTCTTTCTAGGATATCCGTCTAATTACAGAGGTTATAAATGTTACGAATTGTCAAGTCATAAAATCATTATTTCTCGGCATGTCATTTTTGAGGAAAATATGTTTCCCTTTTCCACCATGAATGCTCCTACAACGACTAACTATAACTTCTTAGATGACGGCATAATCACCCTTCTTCCCTCACACTTGTACACCACATCTCCAGCAGCCCCCTCTCCCAACATAACTGTCACCCAACCGCCATCACCAGCAGCACAACAAACTCCCCCCCTCCAACCACACATCAAACAACCTCTCCCCTCTCAACAACCCCCTCGGCCCAACAAACTACATCCACGGCTCAAACACATTCTCCCTCCCAAACCACAACTTCATCTACAAAAATAACACCTACCACCTCCTTCGCACCTATTCCGACACCCATTTCCCCTCCTGCACCTCATTCACCTTAAATGACAACCCGGTCACAACACGGAATTGTAAAACCCCATAAGCTTTTCAACCTACACACATCAACCCACCAATCAATCTCTCCTTTGCCTACAAATCCAATTGATGCATTAAGATATCCTAATTGGAAAATGGCCATGAAAGACGAATATTATGCTCTTATTGAAAATAAGACGTGGGAATTAGTTCCTCGTCCCTCTAATGCTAATGTTATTCGAAGTTTGTGGATTTTCAGGCACAAGAAGAAATCTGATGGGTCTTTTGAGCGATACAAAGCTCGTCTTGTAGGTAATGGTGCTAATCAACAATCAGGTGTCGATTGTGGTGAAACCTTCAGCCCTATCGTCAAACCAGCCACTATTCGCATGGTACTTAGCATTGCAATATCCAAATCATGGTGTCTCCACCAACTAGATGTCAAAAAATGCCTTTTTGCATGGAAATCTGGATGAAACAGTGTATATGCACCAGCCTCCTGGATTCCGCGAACCACAATATCCTGAACATGTTTATCTACTCAAAAAGTCTCTCTATGGTCTAAAACAAGCACCTCGTGCCTGGTACCAAAGATTCACTGATTATGTTGCCACATTGGGTTTCTCTCACAGCATCTCTGATCATTCCTTATTCGTTTTTCATCGCGGTATTGATACTGCTTATATCCTTCTATATGTGGATGACATAATTCTCACTGCTTCGTCTGTTGCTCTTCGTGACTCTATTATGTCTAAACTTAGTTCTGAATTTGCCATAAAGGATTTGGGTCCTCTAAGTTATTTTCTGGGAATATCTGTCACCAATCATACAGGTGGTCTTTTCTTGTCTCAAAGAAAATATGCAGAGGAAATTATAGAACGAGCAGGCATGTCCTCTTGCAAACCATCACCCACTCCAGTCGACACCAAGGCAAAACTCAGTGGCTCTTCCGGGAATCCATATCATGACCCAACTGAATATCGGAGTCTTGCAGGAGCATTGTAGTATTTAACCTTCACAAGACCCGATATCTCTTATGCAGTACAACAGGTATGCCTATTCATGCATGACCCAAAAACACAACATATGTCAGCACTGAAGCGTATAATTCGGTATATTCACGGCACTATTGATTTCGGCCTTCACTTGCATCCCTCCTTTGTCAGCAAATTGGTTTCTTACACTGATGCTGATTGGGCTGGCTGCCCAGACACCAGGCGATCCACCTCTGGTTACTGTGTCTATCTTGGTGACAATTTAATCTCATGGTCTGCCAAACGCCAGCACACCCTCTCTCGGTCCAGTGCCGAAGCCGAGTACCGCGGAGTCGCCAATGTAGTATCTGAATCTTGTTGGATTAGAAACTTACTGTTGGAACTACATTGCCCAGTCACAACAGCCACTATAATCTATTGTGACAATGTGAGTGTTGTCTATCTATCTGGCAACCCAGTCCAACATCAGCGTACCAAACACATCGAGATGGATATACATTTTGTGCGTGAAAAAGTCGCCCGCGGCCAAGTACGGGTCTTACACATCCCTTCACGTTACCAAATCGCTGACATCTTCACCAAAGGACTTCCGTTGCAACTCTTTGATGATTTTCGTGATAGTCTAAACATTCGTCAGCCTCCCGTTTCGACTACGGGGGTATATTAGAATATCATTATTATTATTATTAGGATATCATTGTTGATATATTAGAATATCATTGTTATTATTAGGATATCATTGTTATTATTATCATTAAATAGTTCTGGTTGTATATATATCATTCAAAATCAATAGAAAGGCAAGGCCTATCATTTCAATAGTAAGAAACATGAGCCCTTTCTATTTCCTCAAATTACTTTCATACTAAAAGTTGAGGTGTAAACTAGTAGTGACAATCTTGAAATTGAACTTGATTGTAAAAAAGATGAAAATGTTGAAGTTGATGTATGATATGAGAATAATTTAATATATACACGAAGGAAGTTATTTCCCGAATCTAATCATATCCAATTGTTGGCCCTTAAAACTCTAGTGTCTTTCAATTGCCATTAGAAAAAGTACTATAACATGTACCAAAATTTCATTGTACCCTCTTTCCAATTATCTATGTTTTGAATAATTTTCACTTATCCATAAAATTTTCCTCAAAAATCTCTCTCTCTCTCGGCAAAGGATACGAAATATACTTGAGAATAGGTAAGATTAAAAAAATTCACTCAAATCTATGGAATAGATTATTTAGAGACATTTTCTCCACTTGCAAAAGTAAATATTATCGGACTGATGTTATCTTTAGTAGCTAATTACAATTCGATCTTACATGGATTTGATGTGAAAAAATTCATTCCTTTACGATGAACTTAAAAAAGAATGTACGTGTATCTATCTCATGAGTAAACCTACTGCCACCAACATTCTGTGCAGCTTATGAAAGTTTTTATAATTTCCACATATATGGTTTGAAAGCTTCATTAAAGTTATGATAGTTTTGTGCTTCAAAAAACATCAAGGAGACCATATCTTATTTATCAAACATTTTGAAACAGAAAAAGCAATTGTATTATTGATGTACGTGGATGACATTATAGTCATATGTAATTATGAGGAGGAACAACAACTATTTGACAAACACTTAGATAAGGAATTTAAGATTAAAAAATGATATACTATTTTAGAACGAAATAATTTTTGAGAAGTGAAGTTGTCCACTATAAAAAAATAATATTCATATCTTATGCAATAGACTGTCCAAATTCACCAATTGATTTTAAAGTTGGAAAATGCACTAGAAGATAGTGCACTTGATAAGAAAATGTATCAAATATTAAATAGAAAATTTATATATCTCTCGCATACTAAATTTATATACCTCTCACATATTAGACTTTATGTTAGACTTTATGTTGTTTTTGCTATTAGGTTAGTCAATTAATTCATGCCCTGACATACATATATTCATTTATAAGTTGCGCTCTAAATTATACAATATTTGAAAAAGACACCTAGTAAAGGAATTTCATTTCAAATAAATGGATGAGTAGGTCTTGAAGCATATAATAATGTCAACTATGCATGAACAACTATAAAAAGGGGGTCAACTAAAGGTTATAGTTAGGTGAATCTTGTGATTTGGAAGAGATAAAAACAAATTGTGGTATCAAGATCTAATATTGAAACAAAGTTCAGGGCAATGACACAAGAGATATGCAAATTATTATGATTGAAATCAATTTTAGAAGATTTAAAGATAGTGTGATGAATCGGTGAGACTTTATTGTGATAGTAAGTATGCTATTATCATAGTCTATAATCTCGTGAAACATGATAAAATCAAATATATTGAAGTTGATAGACATTATGTGACATCCCAATCCCAATGCAACCTTGCAGATCTTCTAACGGAATAGTTAAACAACAATAACTGTGATAGAATTATTTCTATACTAGGAATATTCATTCATCAGTCTTGACAAATATACATTTTCATGATAGAAATGATGCACAAGTAGTGAGCTCAACTAATTTGAGGTAGTTGAAGTAAAGATTAAATTTGTTGGAGATCATAGATTCTATTCTTTGCAAGAAAAGAGAAAAATATTATACTAACAATTAACTACAAATAATTTACCATTAAAAAATAAATAAATATAATCATACAACAAACTTTGAGATTTTAACTTTCATTTCCAGAACAACACATTTCTGAACAACAGTTGAGACAGCTGTAGCATCCTAAACCAATACAAAGTTGAGAAAATGCAATTGCACACTGGTTGTTCATTTTGGTACAGACCTGAATGCAGCACATGGAACAGCAATTGTTGCAGAGGCTGCTACAACAAGCTGTTGCTGCCTTAACAAAGACTTCAGCCCCATCAGGCAATTTCGTTTCTTCTGCTCCTGGCGGAGTGTTCTCCGCGGTTGCAGTCAAGTTGCCGAAGCCTATACCTAATTTTGGAAGCAAAAGCGTTCTCTCACCTTGGACATTCTCACCTTTGTTTTTTGACACCTTTTTGCCATGAATTTCAAACAACAGTTAGAAAAGTTTCTATCATAAATACTGAGTTTTTCTAATTTGAAAAACAATACATACAGTATCAAATCATATATAGTTTTTAAACTCAATATATCAATATCTGGTTTTTGATACATACTTTTTTTCCATCTGATTGCTTGGATTTCTTTAGATGATCAATCTCGAGAATTCCCATACTTGTATACTCGGACAAAAAGCCAGTTTGTAAGCTTAGTTTTGCAATCTGCCAATTAAAATGATGTGGCACAAGAAAAACAATCAAATGGTTGAATTAACCAATAGAGGGACCATTATAACTGGAATTAGAATTTTTCAACTTAAGCATATGAATACCTTCTGTTCTAATTGTTTATTTTGAGTAAGCCATGCTTGAGAAGTAAGATAGTCTATTTGTTCTCTTGCAAAAATCTGTTAATGAAAAATACAGTGCAACAGAATTACAATGATGAAAGACAATTAGAACCACTTAAGAAATTTAGTTGAAAGTTAAATATGCTATATAGTGTAGAGAATATTACCCTTTCTATAGGCATGTCCTTAGCATTTTGTATCTTCAAGTTTATTACAAAATTACTGAAATCGGCCAAGATACCTTTTACATTAAGAACTTCTGGAAAGCTTCCCTTGTATCTTCCAAATAAAACCGATGTACAATTTGACGAAAGATCTGGAATATGCGAAGGGTACACCTAATATAAACATTGCAAAATGCCATTAGAGAGCTACAAGATCAAGGAAAGCTAGATAAAAATGCAACACGTACTACAGAAAGTTAGTTGCAAAAATTTGACACAAGTATGTGAATTCCAACATGATATCATATAAAAGAGTCATCATGTTTTAGTATGTTTCTAAAGAAGGTACAAACAGAAAAAATCACGACGGGTAATGTGTGCGCAACACAAAAATCATTTCAAATCCCTCATGGGATTTGGAAACTGCAGAAATCAGTAGGCAGAAAAACAAGTCACTAGCATAATGTGTTATCTATTTATCGTAAAAAGTATACCTCAACTTCATCCAGGTCATCGAGTATGTCCATTGTGATATTTGCAAAAACAAGAGATGAAGCTTTGTTAAATAGTTTTAGCATTTGAGGCTCAACCAAATCTGGAAATAAATAGTTGAAATAGGTCAGTCACATTGGAAATACTTCTAATGTTTATTTAATAACTACAGTAACCTTTTAAGTTAGAAAGGGTGAAAAACATGCTAAATCAAAGTCACACCTAATAGTAATGACCAATCAGAAATTTATCTAACTTCGTATCAAATAGTTACTGTTAGAATTGTAAATATTGCTCAAGATTTTCTTAGAAGCTAAACTAGAATTTTTGTTATATTTAATTATGTAATGATTACCACTGAGATTGGTCTTATTTATAGACCTTCTAATGACCAGTGCTAGCAGGTATCTAAGTTAAAATTGATCGACACATGTCAGTCAGTTTGTTAGGGTTGCTATAACAGTTCTAAGTAAGTGTCTTTGACAGTTAGTTGCAAGGGTCTGCTAGTGTAGGGTAAGCCTACAGCAGGCTCTCATGGGTTTGAGCAAGTATAACTGAACCATTCCTTTAATACCTATTCATCTCTTGCAAATAAGAGACATAGAGGGGGGTGTTATTTCTTCCCAAGACGGCTATTGGTTTTTGGATGAGTTTCATGAAACTTGTATGCAAACTCAGTGTAAAACATTTAGTTCATGGAGTAGTCAAGTTGACATAATCAGGTTCTCCATTTAGTATGCATAGATTATGCAATCAGCCTCTTGTTAGACATATTTTTTATTGTCAATAGGTCCGATTGAATTGACTTATTTGAATTAATCTACTATTATAAGCACTTATGATATTTAAGAGAGTTTATGAAAACAAAATAGAAAAACATCTCATATAGCTTATATGAAAGTTATTTGACTTTATTTTATTTTTTGTTATAGAAATAGTTTATACATAAACACTTATATGATAAGCAATTATGCTACAAGCGTTTTATGGAGTTGTTTATCCAAACAGGACCGATGCTAATGACCAAAATTTCTCTAGAACCAATAATGCAACTAAGATTATAATAAAAACAAAGATAAACAATGTAAACAATATTTACTTTTTTAAGTTAAAATTCAGAACTTGCCTACATCCAATGCTGCAACATGATGCCCCCTACTAATCATAGCTAGCATCCGCAAGAAATAGTGATTGCAGAATGAACCTGGGATTGAATGAGGTTTTATGATTAGTATAAGTGAACGAAATAACATATTTTACAATTGATGATATAGTTAGAATATTAAAAATTCCAACTTGAGAATAATTCAATAATATTCAAATTTTGATTTAGTTTTTATATATAAGAAAAGAGAAATGATACCTATGCCCAAAGTGTAAATTCGGGGGAATATTGATTCTCCTCTGATCCCATTCTTTATCATATCACAAATTTGTCTCTCATCTTCAACAGTTCCATCTGTAACTAGGAAAATAACTGGAACTGATCTTCGGGCATCAGATAGCATCTCTATTGCCTGCAAATGATTAGGACCAAAGCATCCAGTTGTTACTAATCCAGTGTTCTCAATTGTGAGTCACGGAAAATACTAGTTTGTTCAAATTTTGTTATGCTACAGTGCTATAGTGTTGCTATAGAGGTTACTTGACAACACTACTAAACTGCATATTGCAAAATAGTAACAATTTGTTCAAACTCGACTATGCGGTAGTGCCGCTATAGCTTGTATTAACATTGTACTAAACAGACACTAATAACAATTTGTTTAAATTCTGCTACGCTAGGGTGTCATTATAAAATTTATCAAATAATATACTTGGCAATAAGCTACGAGATCTATAGCTACGCACTGATGGTGAAAATTTTTGTATACGTCGTGCATCCAATCAAATCAAATAAACTGTCATTTTTACAAATTAGTTCCTAAAGTATCTACATAGCGTGATTTGATTGAATGCACGTGTAAAAAAGTTTTACACACGGTGCATAACTACTAATCTCTTAAACTAAACTCATATCCAAGAAAAAGAATAATTTGTATGACTATATAAGTTACCATGTTTAATGGACGCATAAGATTTGTATCACCCCCAGCAACAAAGTTTATGTTGATCCATTCAATGGCCCTTTCAACAGCATCGCTTGAAGCCAATTCCATTGAAGTTGAAGATTGATAGATCTCTCCATTAAATGCTATAATACTAAATGAATCATCGGGATCAAGCTTGGAGAGAGCAGCTGTTAATGCATTCTTAGTGTCATTAATTAGCTTTCCTCGCATGCTTCCACTTATGTCAATAACAAATACAATGTCTTTTCTGAAGACCTAGACAAATTGGATAAACTTCACAACAAGTACTTAAAAAAACTAAGTACTACAAAAATATGCAATAAAAGAAAATGGGATATGCAGTCAGTATAACAAATTGACAATCAATCACAACTTGCCAGGAGAAAGGTGCACGCAAAACATTTCTGAAACAAATTCAGCAATGAGAACAAAAAGAGAATAACAAAGTTTAGAGACGTTACTAACCTTCTTACTTTGAAGATTTCCAGGAGAAAGGTACATGCAAAACATTTCTCTCTGATCATCATCATCCACATATGCAGGTTGCAAAATAATCCCACCATTTGTTTGAATAGAAGAGACCTGTATTTACGTAACATACCAATAAGTTAAGCTTTCCCACAAAAGCTGCAAATAACAATGCTATTGAAAGCCCTCATCGAGTCTTACAGTATATGAGAAGTTAAAATCAAATTTTGACCAGGAGAGAACATCAGTTTCGTGTGAGAAACCTATGCTCCCAGCATTGCGTCTTATTTCCTGCGTAGTCAGGGAACAAAACCACATCATTACATTACACATATGGTTAATTGGTTCTAATTGAAATTTGCAATCCAACAAAAAAAATTGAACAACCAAATATGAACCTTCGTGGGATGACTTGCCGTCTTGCACATAATCTCACTACCGTTAACAGCATTCACGTTTAATTGTATCTTTTCTTTTTTAGGCATTTTCTTCCCGGCAGGGTTGACGAAATCTGGAAAGGTAAATGGCACATTCACGGAGAACACGTCATTGCAGCATGATATCTTCTGGGACCAATTAATTTTAATTGATAAATTTGAACCACCATCTATCTGTTATAAACAAAATCAAAACAAGATAACATAACCAAATGGGTCTAGCTATCAATAACCTTCACATCTATGAAGCATCGACACACTCACACATGCATGAACACTAGAAACAACACTGATCCTTAAACATCGATAATAATCAGTGTTGTGTCAGTCTCGTTGACACGTGTTAGACACCAAACATGTCTTTAATCCGAGGTATCAGTGCTACATAGTTCAGAATACATAAAATATATATATAATACCTGTGGTATTGTCAAAGTAAACACATTAGATTTGAGAAAGCCTCCGTCTTGAGTTCTAACTACGTTCTCCTTGCCATCAGTTTTGTCTTCCATATCAACCAGTTGAGTAGAATATGATTTCCTATGAACACTGACCTCCACACCTAGAATTGAACCCTGTTAGCCAAATGGTATCAGAACACAAAATCTGCAACATCTTTAAAGGTTAAAACATTATTCAAATGTAACAAGTTCTCAGAGTTACTATGAGAAATTTATGAGTCAGTTGTCAAAAACATTTGTTCATGGCTAATTTCACAGAATGTCAAAGAATGGAACACTAACAGTTCTAGCCTGGGCACATTGTTAAACATTGAGAATGCAGAAGAAAAAAAAACAAACCTGAGGACCCATAGGAACAGCAACAACACAATCACAAGACCGATTCCCGGAAACACAATGCAGCCTCCACAATCCCGAAACCTCAACAACGGCCGTATTCAACCAACAATCAACCCTAAGATCAACAGCATTAATCATATGAAGCGGAATCAAAGCCGGAGGATCACACCTCCCATGCACGTGAGGTTGATAGCTAGGAACGTCGGGATTATCAACAATGGCAGGATCGTGAATAACCGCGTAAACCATAGGAGCGGGTGGAAGAAAAGCGGTGTTGGATTTAAGCATTGACGTAGGAGGTTTTGGCGCTGAAACGGCTCTGTCATTGCCGAAGTATATTCGTTTGGATAATTTGAGTCCTTCCTCGACGGATTTGGAAAATTCTTCTGCCATTGCGGGACGAGAGGAGAGCAAATCAGGAATTTGGTGGTTCCTTCTTTGGTTCTCCTGTTGTGTCAGGACACCATTGTTGAGGGAAGGTTGAGTTATTTTTCCTTTGGAATATTTTTGATGGAATGGTTAAAAATAAATGGTTTCTAAAATAATGGGTTGTTGGCTTTAAACAGAATTAGAGACGGCATGTCAAGTTGGTTTCATGATAAGTTCTTTTTTTCTTGAGTAGACCGCCAACTATTTTGGATTTGGACATTCAAGTCCCAATCATTTGCTTGGAATTCGTGTCTTGGATGATCATTATATGCGGTACCAATTTCACATATTCACACGTTCTTCCAATATTGAAAACCGTTAGATTAAGATTATACAATTGTCTCTTGATTTATATTTTAGACGCTCGTACAACATGCATATCTTGTCACTCGGCGGGGATTACTTGGCAAGACATAAACAGGGAGAGAAAAACACGGTATATTTATAAATTTAATATTTTTTTTTAATAATTTTTTTCCTTATTTTATAAACTACTTCTAATTTATTTATTTTTTCAATTGAATCTCCTAGCATTGAAATGTGTCAATAAAGAAAATAAGATAATTTGTTTGAGTATTGTCAATGAAAGATTGTTCAACCATGGTATTAGAGGTGGATTGGTAGATCATGTATTAGATGATGGATTGGTAGATCTCACCACCATGAGTGATAACCAAATTGATCCGGATTTGTTAACCATGTTTTTTTAGAGGTGGTAGAAGGAGACTAAAAGCTTCCATCTATCAATTAGGAGATTATAATAATTATTTTAAAAAATAGGTAAAAGTTATTGTATTTTATTTCTCAACTTTAGGTTGGTTTATATAGTAAAGATATAATTATTAGACTTGATTTTTTTTAATGGAGAATGAAGGAAAACAAAGAAAAATAGAAATAGTATTAAAGAAAATAATAAAATCAAAAATAAAATATTTTTCAACAGTAACATTAGATAATGTATCATCTTTGTGATTGTCTTCTAGACCATACCATACAACATTAACTAGGACTAAAGCGGTGAAATTGAAGGGGGATTTGACTTAGAGGAAATTTATCGAGATGTTGAAAAGTCTAAAAAGACTAATTCACAATTCAACTTTTTCAAATACAAGTTCAAAAAACACCTAAATGCATAAAAGGTAAGCGACTCAAATGGTGACAATATGGGAAGAGGTATCTGCAATCATTATGCCATAAAAGTGCGTTAGTTTTACTTTGTGGGCTCTATCATCTTCTTAGACAAGAGTGTTATCTACGTGAATGTGGTGTACTTGGAGTTTTTCAGGGACATTGATATGATTGACGACTTCTCGTGAGCACTACTCCCCTAACTTACTTGTACATAGACCTTGATATTGCTTATAAGCATAGTGTGAAGTCGCTAGAAGAAAATATGAAACTTCTTTAAGTAACATATTCATGTGATTATTTAGTTATTTGTTCAAAATATCATATTTAATGATGTTTACTGATTAATATATGTTGATGCTGGCATGGATCTTCCAACACTTTCTAAGTATTAGCAATCAATATAATAAAGTTAGATACGTGGATAATAATTTGTGTGCTAACAATTTTGCTCCAACTAAAGCTCACCCATTGCTAAACTCGTAACGATATTGATTGAATTAGTTAATAGAGTATGATGTTTACTCATACACCTACATTGAACATCGCATCACACGTCTATTTAATGAGATATGTTTCTACTCTAGATGGATTAAACATGGATTGTAACACCGTAAAATCCATACTTATAATTAAAAGAATAAAATTCACAATTTAAGATGCTAACTAAAACAAAACAGACATACTTTTCAATTAGTTTCAAAACTCGCAGCAGAACTCTAAATAAATAACATAAATTTCAATTATCTCATCAAACTAAAATATTCAGTAAAATTAACATAATCAAATTATTAACTCAAAACAAATAAAATGTTTTGTTCTCGATGTTACATATTAGAGAATTGAACCAATTAAATACCAATAAGCTATAAAATAGACTAAGAAAAACTCCAAGGCTATCTTCCAACTCACAACAGCACTTACTCCTCTTGAGTATCTATACGACAATGTACAAAGAAACACAAAACAACAAAAAAAGAGGTGAGAGTACACTTTAATATATTAAGTTGTAAAAGAATGCATTAGTAGTTTAAATCACACAATAAATAATGTTTATTTCATCTACACAATAACACAAAATCAATTTCATATAGCCTTATGTATGCAATGTGACTCACAATTCGACACAATGCATGTGGTACCAATTGGACATCAGATGTTTGTTACTGATCTCGTCCACTCAACAATGGTTCCTCATTCGAAACGGTCCCCACTTCTGAACCCCGGGTCCCTAATTCTGAACCCTGGATGAATCACCGGTCCCCGCTTTTGAACTTGTAAACCTCCTTCTTTCAGCACTAACATGTATAATTCATGACATACAAACAAATGCAACAACACATATAGTTTCATTCCTAACCATATTTAACATTCATAAGACATTCACGATAGTCCCCGCTTCTGAACTATAAACCTTAACACAATGCTTATAATTACATTCACAACACTTATAATCACAATCATAACTCGTCAATACACAATTGATTTGATTATCAAGTCAATATCCAATTACCATAGTATTTTCATCTTGATCAATTAACCATTCATAAAATTAAACTTTAAGAAAAAATTTCATTTGTGTCATTAAACCACATTCAACTTCTTAAAGTATTACCATATGATAGTATTATGTGTTAGCTTTCTAACGCTTTGAGTTACGCCTCGAGCGGAATCACGAATATCAAGTTATGTCATTTTTAGTTTTACTTCAAAATATTTCTCTATCAACTTGCAATAATCGATTATTAATATGTGATAATTGATTATTGACCCTGAAAAATTCAGAAAAATTAATTTTTAAGCTTGTAATTGATTTCATTATGTGATAAATGATTACTTCTGAACCCAAACTATTCCCAAGCATTTAGTCGTCTCTATTAAACCTCTAATAACTCAAGAATTCGGGTTGAGTAGGATTATGTTGACTATATGAAATACATGTTGTATATAGAGAGTTGAGACAATCGTATTGTTGTGAATCATATGTCTTTAAACAAAATATAAACGGTTTCTTTATGATCAAGAAACACACAAGGGTTAAGGTTAACAAAGAAAACAAGGTAAAACAACAAGGAATAACAAGGATTGGTTATAAATTTTTATTCTTTTATTTCTCTTAGAAACAAGATTAAAAGTATATAAGAATAACAAAATAACCTCTCTCTCTTGAAATTAGGATTTTATCTTCCTATTTTTCCTTATTTCAAGATTGAGAAACTAGTATCCTATTTATAAGAAAATAACACACTAACCTAATGAGCTTTTTAACAATTATCCATTACAAGCTAACTTAGGGTACAAGCTAACTTAAGCAATTGTGCTTACAAGCAAGGCCCAATTCAACATGCTAACAACCCTAGTAATATTGACTAATTCATGTTAGAATAAACTTCGACTACAACATGCATTACTCTGACAGTAGCATATGAACATATTTCGACCTCTTACTTAATTTCCATCGAACCAGAAGCTACCCTTAGACCAAACTAGAGTTTGATCCAACATCTCAAAAATATCCACCTTGGATCTAACTCTATAACATCAAGAAACTAGCTTTCTTCACGCAGTTTTATCAACTGCATACAGTGGAAAAACTTGCAACTAGGCAACGTCTTGGTGATCATATTAGCAGCATTATGATCTGTCGAAACCTTCAGCGCTTGGACTTCTCCACACTCGATTACACCTCTGAGGAAATGCAGCCTCACATCAATGTGATTGGTTCACTCATAATAGGTTGAATTTTTCGACAGGTGTATTACATTTTGACTATCCCATTTAACAGTGATAACTCGACCTTGAAGTTTTAGCTCCTTTGCAAAACCTTCAAGCCATGATGTTTCCTTCGCATCTTCAGTTAGGGAAATATATTCCGCTTTAGTGGTTGATAAGGCAACGACCGTCTGAAGTGTTGTTTTCTAACTGATTGATGTCCCAAACACAGTGAACACATATCCAAAAATAGATTTTCTAGAATCCATACAACCTGCATAATCAGAGTCGACATATCCTTCGATTGCTGCTTTACTATCTTCACCCAAGGTTCCACCATAAATTAAGACTCTATTTAGAGACACATTTATGTATCTCAGAATCCACTTCAATGCTTTCAAGTGAGCCTTTCCAGGATCTCCATGTACTTGCTTACAAGACTTACTGCATATGTTATGTCCCGACCAAACTTCTTCAGGTGTCTTCATTCCCAAGGCAGTCGAGGGACGTCTATTTATCAGGTAAGTTGTTGTCGAAACAGCTTCCGTCCAAAACACCTTCTTCAATCCATCACTAACCAACATGCATCTAACCCTTTTAAGTATTGTTCGATTGAATCTCGCAGCTAAGTCATTTTGTTGAGGAGTACCTGCTACAGTCTTATGCCTTGCAATCCCATACTCAACACAGTAACTTTTGAACGCTTTGTTGCAGAATTCAAGGTCATTGTCGGTTCTCAACCTCTTAACCTTTCTTCTAGTTTGAGTTTTGACCAAAATATTCCAACTTTTGAAATTCTCAAAAATTTCATCCTTTGTCTTCTGAATGAATACACATAGCTTTCTGGAATAGTCATCAACGGCGGATAGAAAATACCTTTCACCTGAGTGTGAAGGATTCTTTGTAGGCCCACAAAGATCAGCATGAATGTAATTCAGGGATCCATGTGTTCTTTGTTTGCCTTTGTTAAACTTCACCCTACATGATTTACCAAATACACAAGATTCATAAAACTCCAACATTTCGACTTTGTCACTTCCTAGCAGGTTCTACTTCCCCAATTCGACCAGGCCTCTTTCGCTGACATGGCCCAATCTCATGTGTCATAATTTTATCTTCGACAC